TATATCGCCTTTATCCTACTTTGGATAAAAGGAATGGATAAACTTTAACTCAATGCTTGCTTGCACTTACTCACCAAATCACACACAACAATATGTTTTATAACAACAAGTTACTAGTGCGTTTACATATTATCAATTTGCAACCGACTTGCAAGATACAACTCACACATCTCGGTTTCAAGAATATAAGATGTTATCGTCTCACCAATCACTCGTGATAAAATCTATGAAGTGGTCTAATTGAGCGTGGGCTTAATCCAATGCTCAAATCATATTCATAAGCACTCATGAACGTTGCAGCAAACATTAACTTATGTCTAATGCACTTTAGACAATCCACACACCAATTCAGGACAGTCTTCTTTCATATCTACTTCCAACATATGAACGACTGTGGCCCGTTAGAATAATTTGACTGTTCTTAACCAATTAAATTATTTAGGAAGTCAAAACATGAAAAAATGAAACACAAGAATAATACTAATCCCATATGGCCTCAATCTTTGAGTATTAATAAAACACCTTTTATTTATCACCATATTGATTACTCATTGTTTGTCGTTTCGGGTGATCAACTTCTTACTGAGTTATTACACTTGTCCCAAGCTCTTAACATGCACACAATGTTTACCTATGGTTCTTACTTTGTGAAATAGATCAAATACACACATTTCCAATCCTACTCATTTAACAACTCCTAATCCCTTTTTCACAAGTGAAAAGATATCAAATTCTTTCCACTTATAGTATATGTTAGATTCTAAAATTTTATGAAATGATCCTTTTGTAATGTCACAGCACTAAGGTCACAATGACTTTTTCCAATGAATTACAAAGCTCTCAATCGGAAAATTGTTACAAGGCAATTCCATAGATGTGATGTCTCTGACTCAAAGTACATTCCTTTGAACATCCTTTTGCATAATTTTTTTTAATCTAGACATAGATTGTTAATATCTAACTCCCAATATGGAAACCTTTACATACTTACCATATCACAACTCATTCTTAATAGAATCTTATCTATTCATAATAATGTCAATATGCTCCATCCAATACTATACTTCCAACTACCCACAAGCGACCAATCCTCGGCGAACTGTGGATTGTCCTTTGACAATTGTCTTAGTAAAAACCGACTCTTGGCCTTTTCCCTCAAAATTTGTTGGACATTTGGAAAATTTAGAATGGTAAAATATTATAGCATTTACAATCGATCCTATACCCGAAGCGTATGGGACACGATGCATGATGTCTTGCAAAAAGATTTGATACTTTATCAATCTTCTGCCATAATATTTTACGTGTCACGTTCTCACAATTCGAACTATGAAGAGGGATACCTTAATGATAATCGAGATTTAAGAACACACTACGTATCCTTTGACTAAATTTATTAAAATTTCTCAATCTATGCTTTAGATTTTGAAATGAAGCATAATATTCTCTCCCTTAATTATAGCAAAACAACTATTCAACCCTTACAACTTGCAAAGTATGACTCTTGTTTTCTATAATTAATAATGCTAACTTGCAATAATTGCCTTAATAATCATAAAATCATAACATTTATGCTCCCACTATCATGATGACTATGATAAACACAACACTTATGCTCCCACTAGCTTTGACATGTATTCAGAAACAGCTTAACTTTCAGAAAAACAATACCTATTCAATTTCTTAAGTTCATGTTTCGAATACCTAATGCTTTGATAATCTTTTATCAAGGTTATACACCTTTCCTTTAGATAGCTCAAATGTGTGTCTAAACAATTAAGACTAATTTCCAAATCTCACAATTCGAATCATGGAAAGGGATACCGTAACCATTATCAAATTCGAGAATCCAATTTTCACAATCACTATCTTTTTAAAATCTCTTTTCAGTGTAAGTATTTCCTCAAAGTCATTTTCATGAAGGATGGAATCTTATGACACTTCAATTTTAATGGTGTATGTGTGTGTTCCTATGCATGTGAATTTATCAAAACCAAAGTTTGCTACAAATCCAAACTCATATGGGCCAAACATTCTCAATCTTCATTTCCTACCTTATGGTAACACGGCTGCCCACCATGTCTTCCAAGTAGTTAAGCAGCTTACCATTTCTTATCAATGTACTTTTCATTGATCAAGGTCCTTGCCTTTTATGCATTCAATTGAGAAGTCATAGAACTCACATGCATAATTAACTCGATTGGAACGGTGTAGAAACAAGATAATGTCAACACGATAGGTTGTAAAGCTCAAGTCGTGTGCTAGTGATTTTTGATAAGGTTTATTTCATTTGTTCTTGAAACCTTTCAAGACCATTAAGACTCCCACTAACTCCTTGACATATAAGATTCTCTTGTCAATAAACATTTCTTGACAACAAATATTCAAGAGTTAGTGTAGTTTTTTATCAAGACAAAACACTTCATAAAATTGGTTCTAGTTGGTCTTTGTCTAATCCATGACATCACAACTTTCCAATTTCAAATGTGCAAGAATAAGAAAACTTTTTCCATATTCCACATTTGATGAGTTTTATAAACCTTATTAAAACTTGTCACTCAATGTCACAATCTTAACCTTAAGACTTGTTTTGGAACGAAGTATGATTGACTTCTTTATTTAACCATTTCTTCAATTCTTGATTCCTCTTCTTAGACATACGATTTCACTAAGACTCACTTAGAGGATCAATTGAGATATGGTTCTTAATCATTAAGACTTATCATAAAACATAATAAAAGGTACTCTCCCTTCTTCTTAGAATAGAGAAACTTTTATCTTTCTACCTACTCGATTCTTCTTATTCGTTCTGCTGTTGATTTATACTCTTACAATCAACTAAGAATTACACTTAATCTAATAAGTGTAATCATATTTACTTAACAATAGTAAATCATGACGACTATCTTTGTTACTCTTGTGGTGGACTTGATCAACACATAACCTTATGTGATCGATCTCCTAGTCCTTCACTTAACACTTTGTCAACGAATTAGTCTAATTTCCAAACGTGAAATTTCTCATTCATCACTACTAGAAAAACAGCCTTTTACGATGCTCATTGCGCGTCATAAAGGGCTCAGACGACGCGCAAATGCGCGTCAAGGAAGGCCCTGTCATAAAGAGAGACGACGTGCATTTACGATGCTCATTTATGACGCGCAATTACGACGCACGTTTATGACACGCAATGCTTATCAAGAAAGGCCCTATCATAAAGGAAGACGACACGCATTTGCGTATCGTAACCTTACGACGCGCGTGTTAATGACACACAATGCGTATCAAGAAAGCCCCTGTCAAGAAAGGCCATGTCATAAATGCAGATGACACACATTTTTGCGTATCATAATTTTAACTGTTTAAAAAAATATATTTATAGATTTACTAATTTCCAAATTAAATTTCCATTTCATGTCTCATAATAGAAAACAAAATACCATATACAAAAAATATAATACATTGCACGAAAGTTGATGTCATACAAATAATCATTCCAATAGTAGACAAATGGATAAATCTCAAAGGGATCAAAAATATGTTTGTCTTCTAATAGAACCTATACACAAGAAAGTAATGAATTTGCTATTAAACTTATACACAAGAAAAAGGTGTTTGAATTCAAAAAATGTCGCAACAACTGAATTGGCCCCGGAAGCTTGTGATTTGACTGCAACTGAGATAAAAATCCCATGTTTACTCTTCTTAAGCTTACTAAACAAACTTCACAATAAGATAATATAAAACTGAATTATTATTAAGATTCAGCCACAGATGCACTCAAGCTATACAATAAGATAATTGGGTAGATTTTTCAAAGTACAATGTTCTAATAAGAAAAAATGAAATTAGGATGTTATAACTTTGTAATAAATAAATAAATCAATGAAAGTGCATTGTTACTTTATGAATCTAACCCTAAAAAAAGCTATAGAACTGAGGAGGCGAAGATTACCACAACTTTATTATGCAGCATGAATGTCCCCGTTATGATGGATACCTGTTGATGACAATAAACCAAATTATCAAGATAAAAATAATTATAACATTTCTTGCATTTTGCATAAATATGTGCAAATATTATCTTATATTAAGTAGTAAACTAATAGTAGCATGCAATTAATGAAGTAGACATATTTAGTCCCTGAAAAACTTACAGATAAAACATTCTTTATAATGGATGCACAATTTAAAGTCAACGAGAGAGCAAATCTAGTCAACACGGCTATGAATGGATTACTTGTGAGTAGTGGTATAGACACAACCTACACAAAACCTATTTCAGACCTCACTTATCAAATAAACATCCCATTTTTCAAGATTGATATATAAAACTTTTTTTCTCTCATGCAAAATCAATAATTACATAAAAAATGAATAATTAAATTAAACAAATGGTAAAAGAAAAACTAAATTAAAGAAAAATTGCTTACTCCTGCAAATAAGCTACTACTATGGGGCTAAATATCCTCTCCATAATTGGATACAATGTGAATTTGAAGTGTAAATCATATTCATACCTATTTATAACCAGGGAGCACCTATGAAACATCATTATGTAGCCCCTCGCTTCTAATTTCCTACAAGTACTGTAAATCAAAATAATAAGCTAAATAGTAAATATGCATCAAGCCAGGGGCAAAAGGTGGAATTTTTAATACCTGACTTAGGAGCTTTGGTATGTCCATTGTTGAAAATGTGATCTCATGCATAGGCCTGCACTATCCCAGTTTAAAAGGTACATTTAGTTAGACGATTGTGTACAAAAGCTAATAACTGTCCTGATGTCTAGTGGCTTGGGATTAAAGGACTTACAACAAATCTTGTAAGAGCATACATAAACAAATAAAATCCATAACAATAATGGAATAGATCATTACATTCCATTATCATGTTTGGTTGGCTAGAGGAAATGGAATGAATTTCAGTCAATTCCATGCGTATAGTTGCACGATTGCTATAACAGAAAATAAGAAGTTGTATACAAACGCCAGGTGTCTCTATATGTTGTATTGAACTAAACTTTGAATAACATACTTCAGCTTTTGATAAATCTCCACTCTTATAAGCCACATTTCCCCTGCACAAATCAATTTATTTCAGAAATCAAAAGCATATTAGGTTTATACAAATGTAAAATATCAAAAAAAAAAAAAAAAAAAAAAAAAAAAAAAAGGGGGGGTGGCTAAAACAACACCTTTTTCACCAACTGTCACATGTTTCTTGAGTTGTAGCCTTTGTGTGCTCCCTGTTACCAGGGTTATGAGAATGGGACACATTAACACAGCTAGTTCTTAGCTTATACATCTTCTGATGTGGCTGTTTTCTCACTGTCATGTCAGCACTAGCAAAAGATGTAACAGAAGGTGAATACATAGATTTTCATGTCAAAAAAAAAAAAAAAAAAAAAAAAAAAAAAAAAAAAACTTACAAGAACAACTAGCAGATCACGAGTAAGAGCAAGGCCATTGATCATGTTAATAGGAAGCATGTTCTCATCTCGATCTATTGTGTTCACTAGCTTTGAGTCTTTCATCATTGGTATATGGCTAACACTTCACTTGATACACCACATCCTAATTATGTATCACAAATAAACATATTTTATGCTAATATTAAGCTAAATCTGTTTCATGCAAGCAAAATAGCAGTTTAATTATATACCTCCATCTACAATTTCTCCTTCAGTATTTCTGGAAATATGGAATGCCAGAGAAAATATGGTTCCATTTGAAAAAGATTCTATTGTCTCACATCCCTACATCATATAAAAAAGAAACACTTTCACTTTGTGAGAATCCATAATTACAAGATATTGCCATTTATCTTATGATGATGATTGATGAAAATGAAATCCAAAAGTCAAACAAAAAATGGATAGATATATGATTACCTCAGAATCCACAGACATGTTATTGATTGCAATATAAGAATCATTGTCCAAACATATGCCTCTAGCATTTAAATTAGTTACATCAACATTCTCCTTGTTATCCTTTGGGTAGGTGGCTGCTGCTAGTTACAAAAGATATAGATACATAAAGCATCCAAATTTATAATCCTCAGTGAACAAAAAGTAATAATAATGTCAAAAAATAAAAAAGGGTAACCAACTAACCTGGTTTTTTTTCTAGCAGAGGATGTAATCATCTGAGAGGCTCTGTTCTCTTGGTTGTTGACATCTTCAGGAACCTTCTTCTGAGTTTTTGAAACTTTTGGACTAGCAAGTGCTTTAGAAGAATTTCTTCCCATTGCTACTTTCTTGGTTTGCATCTCAAACTTGGGAAAGAACCAGATTCAGATGCTTAACAACTTCAATTTTTTGGTAGATATTTTATAAGTTATGATCATCCACAGATTGTCTGAATGGCATAAAGTTGCCTAACAAATTGGGAAATTTTATTTTAAGTTTGAACAACAACATGAATAATAATAATGAAGAATAGAGATTGAAATGTAAAGAAACATATGGGCGGGGGTGTGATGCTTGCCTGGATTGTATTGTGTGCAAGGTATCTTTGGTTACTTCCTTTAAAGCTAACATCAACCCATTCCCAACTTATTTGACTCAATCCCTTAATCATCATTTCTGCATTTTTAATTGATGGTATTAGAATTCATATAACTCAACAGTTGAATAATGAATTGGTTGCTACCTTCCATGCTGGCAGTGGCAGTGGCAGTGGCTGTCTTAGTCTTGTGGGTTTTGGGATGTGGGTCCAGAGAGGTTTCTTATTTTGTGATATTTTCTGCATCTTCCTTGAGAATATGGGGATATCTACCACTTCTCACAAGATTTTTTATCTATAAAAATACTGAGATAAATTAATTACACTATACCTAGTAATATTATTTTATTTTATTTTTTTACCTTAGGCAGCTGAATCTGATGACGGATTGATGATGTGATCCATCCCACAAGATCTATTTCTAGTGCTTGAGTTAAGGAAAAAAAACATCCAAAACTTAATGGTAGATTTTTTCAGGAAAAAATATTAGGATACGGTCTGAATGGACATTTGCATAAACAACACGGCGTTTGAACGACTCCAATGCGGATCTACAAAATAAACCACAAAATTCATGCAAACAGATCTCCAAATTCTCCTTCTTTTCTACTGTGTTTAGCTGGAAAAAAAAGGGGGGGGGGGGAATGTCAATGAAAGACTTACATGAACTTTAGGTGTTCTGAATCATTGGCCATCTGAACCAAGAGAGGGGTCTGTCTCTATCCATTAGCCTTGTGTTTCAAATACATATGTCTTCCTGTTCTTCAAACCACCACAGAACTGTGGTACCCTACTTTCTCAAGACCTCTGACTCCACAGAATATTCGGACCTGAAACCACCAACACTTCCATCAACTATTTCCAAATAATTAACTCACAAGTTACAAACCTGTCTGTGTCCACTTGAGCCAAGGTGTGGAGTCGCAACTGTAATAAAGTTAATAGCCTCAACTCCAGCAATTTTACCAGATCTGTCTTGGTATGTTTGATTCTGTGTGTAGAGATTAGAAATAACATATCTTGATATCAGGCCACCAAGTGAGTGACCTATAAATGATATCTTTTCAACTTTAGGATTGCGTTCTATCATAGATATCACCTGCAACCAAAACCACCACTTTTACTTCAAACTACAATGTTGTGTCATAGCAGAAATGAATATTTCTAGGTCTTGGATTTAACCCTAAAAATGATTAAGGAGGATGATACTCACCTCATCAGCTAATTTGCTTCCCATTACATCAATTCCATCAAGTGTTGCTAGTGCAGAGTTATGTCTGCTGCCTGTAGAGCATATCGATACACAAGATATAGTGTGGAAAATAAAAATGATAATACTAATAATACAACCAAAGTTCAACAACACTTTTAACCAACACTAATTCTTTTTTCAGCTTCCAGTAATAACATCAAGTTCATAAACATTTGGTATGCACAATTGAGAAGTATCTTCTGAAAAGAGGAGAGGAGTGCTATAGAAATGATTACAGTGAACAATAAGATCCTTGGGATACTTATTTAACAACTTCTAATAAAAAATTTTGGTAGATATGTTTATAAGTTGTGATCTTCAATTTTTTTCATCTCAAACCCCAAGTCTCTACGAGAGTTCGCTGCACAGCATTCACCTGTTACGAAATCAAATTTTACCAAACCCATATAAGCAATAGATCGAACACCTTATCTGCACGACCCAAACAAACTACTAAAAAAGATGATCGAACTGAACACCTACCTCATGAGTACGAGAAGCTGGGAATGCTATTGTCAAGGACTCGGCAAGAGCTGGCGAATCTAAACAAACAGAAACTGCAGCAGCGAGCCCAATCAAACCTTTAGCGATTGAATCAATCAATTTCTTATTGGATTCAACTGATTCGTTCGAATTTTCCTTGGGTAAAGCTTGACATGGTGTTGGTACTTTACACTTGCTATGGTAACCATTGAAATTGGAAGAAGATAATCGGTACTTATAGGGAAAAGTGAAAGAGGTTGGTGTTTGAGGGGTTTTGGTGTAAATTGATGAAATGGGTGAAGAATTACTAAGATCGAGATTAGGTCGGCGTACAGCATCCATGGTACATACTCTAACTGGGGGATTTAAGGGGTTTGTAGATCGTAATCAAGATGAAGGGATTTATGGGGAATGAATGAGTAATGGTTGGATTTAGGGGGATTTATGGTAATCCCTAAAAATTGGACCCAAAAATATCTATATCGGGTTTACAAATACACAAACCATGCTTTTTCCCTTTCATTAGAACCAAGTGAAGGTCAGATAACGGCGACGATAGTGGTAACTGATACACAAGGAAAACATTTTCAACCACCATGAAACAATTAAGACAAAGTTACAATGTTTTCGTTGCTTCAGCCTTCGGTTTGTGATTCGCGGCGACGACGTGATTAAGGCAAGAGGGAAACAACCATCGAAATAGAGAAACAGAAGGGGAGATTTGATTGTGAAGATGAAGAAAAGAAGGTAGAAAAGAAAGGCGGGTTTTCAAAATTTTAGGGTTTCGTTTCCCCCCGTTATCTTCTCAAGGCGCGTTTCCTTAAAATTATAAAGCGACACCTATAGAAGACGCACGCTTAAGATAAAGCGCCCTCCGTGTTTTTAATTTTTTTTCTTGAAACACTAATTTAAGGGCACGTAAAAATGCGTATCCATTATCCTTCAAATTTTGGAAGTCTGACAATATTTTTAAGGACGCCCAAAAATACGTAACGTGAATCAGCAAGTGTCATTCTTTGTGCGTCATTAAAGGCTATTTTTCTTGTAGTGCATCATGCAACCAAGTTGCGTGAATCCAAATTTCTATCCAACTAAAACTTGGGCGATGAGAACCTCTCCCTATTTGGTAAATTCTCTACATTTCCATAAACAACATAATTAAGAATCACATCCATTTGTTATAGAAATATGCAAACATCAATTTTTCATAACGATTTCATCGTAGGTAAACAAATAAGCAAATAAATTAGTCAAGCAAAAATTTATTTTATTCATAAAAGCAGCAAAAAACATTTATCCTTACAATGCAAAATCAACTGAAAAACAATGTAAATAATATTCCTAACTACTCTATCATAACTTTCTAAGCTCAAAACCTAATCTTCGAATCCATGCAATCGAGATCCATTTCTTCGTGATTAGATTCATCTTGCTCTTTCATCAACCTTCCTCTCTTTACATTGATCCAACAAAACATTCAAATTCAATCTGATCACATTATGTATTAACAAATAGGAACTTAATTGAGTTAGATAGTCGATTTTACCTGAAGCACAATCATACTCTTTGACTCTCCCATCTTCTGGACTCTTCACGTTCTTAGGGCAGACTTGTATCCAACGCCCTTTCTCTTGCCAGCAAATGCAGGTTGGTTCTCCTAGAACGTCCTCAGAAGTATGGTTGGTTGACTTTCCCAACAAATACACTCCATTGCTTTGCCAAATCATTTCTGATTCAGCAGCAATGAGCATGTAAGTTAGGTCAATGAGGTTTTCGTCATGATCCATCATATAATACTTTCCTTTGAACTCATTATATGATTCGGGAAGTGACTGTAGAACCCAGTTCATAGCCAACTCATCCGGGAATGACACACCCAACATTTTCAACCTATCAATGTGTGATTTCATTCCTAGAATGTGGGCACACACGGGTTTACCATCTTCATGTTTCATTTCCAATAGGGCTTTGGTGACATTGAACCTTTCAATTCTTCAATCTTGTGGGTTAGGGAGAATAACGGAAGGAGGTGGAGGAAGTGAAGCATGATATCTTGTTCCTCGATCGAATCATGGAATATCATCTTCATGTGGAAAGCTTGTTCCATGGGATTTGGGAAGACCATAGTTGTCGAACTTTGATATCTACAAAAACGGGAGAAAACATAAATTCAAGTTAGTTGATAGATTGATTCCTTAATAAATCACCCAAATGAGATATTAAGGCTAGGACCCAACACAATACACTACAACCTAGAAAAGGGATGTCGTAATCTAGTTGCAGAATATTTGAAGGTAAGTGAATGATGATTCACTAATTTTCCACCATGAAAATCGAAAAAGAAATTTAAGTTTTAAATCTATGAAAAATCCTAGATCCTTCGAGATTCATTGAACATTTCAATGGCATGTCTAAATCTCGATATTCCCTCTAGTTTGTGACTAGGATACCGAGGATCACAAAGCGGGTGTGAATAACCATGCAAACTTACATGGTTCCCTCACATGTTAGGGTCACCTATTTGATGTGTCGGTAAACCACACACGCTCCACCGAACTACGACAAATATTGAGTCACCTTTTACTACCTTTTCTTAGAACCATTTAGTGTGCCAATAAACCACACACGCTCCACTAACGTCTTCGCAAGGGCACAAAGTGTAATTTCATGGGATTGCATCAATTCACTTTTGCCTAAAGTAACTAAGAATAGGAATTTGTAAAAACATTTAGTTACTTGTGTACTTCATTATACTTATAATGGAAGCTTTTTTCCTATCCTACCCGTTCGTCTAACGACCCTCCACTAGTCAAGAGTGCGGTGGGTAAGAGTGGATACCCATTCAATCGCCATTTTATAGGCAATTTCCTTAAACACCCCTTATTGACCAGCTTCATGAATGAGGCCTACTAACGGTAAGACTGACTTTTACTCATACATATATATAATGTTAGATTTTAATGTTATATATATAGTATAGGGTGTATTTTACACTTTTAAAAATACTAGGTGGTCTAATTTAATAATTATACTTTTAATTTTAATTAAATTGTACACTAAAACCTTATGGATTTACTAAATCTCTTTTAATTATACACTTTAAGTAATTAATGAAACCATAAGGGTGTGACTTGAACTTTTAAAACAATACTAGGGTTTTAGAATTTAACATTCCTAAATTAAACTTTTAATCAACTTTTAAATTCCAAAACTTGAGGGCAAGTTTTCAAACATTTCAAAACATTAGGGTTTCAACTATTTAAATTTCAAAAAAAAACTTTTGAGTTCAAATTTAAACTATAAAATCTAAAGGGGAAAATTGAAACTTTTCAAACTTTCTCAAGAACATTCTAGATCACATAATACAAATAAGGCAATTAACTATTAATTGGTGGTTATCTAATTAGATCTAGTTCAAATTCTTGCAAGATAATGATCAAATAATTTCCATAATTTAACATTTATCAAATAAGGTAACAATTATTTAATCAAATGACCAAAATCTTTTATGTTGACAAGGATAATCATAAGGGATTCACAAAATATGAATTTTATTAAGTTTAAACAATTATGGCAATTATCCTAAGTCAAAATAGGTAAAAATCCCGAAAATCCGCCTAACTAACGCTCGAACTCTCCGAGTTCCTCTATGGACTCGCCGAGTTGGAGCTACTCGCCGAGTCCACATTGGAACTCGCCGAGTTCATCAGTCAGGGGGGTAAAAAAACGATTTTGCAACAAGAATGAATATACTTGGAATCAATACAATAGAAACCAATCAAGGTTGTGATACCACTGATGGGTTTTAGCCATAAGAACATCCTATGTGCTCATACAAACCCTAATGCTTGGATCTAGGTTTCTCTATTGTACATGCAATTCATCCAAGACTATAAACCCTAGATCTAGCATACGATAATCAATATAACATATAAATTAGGGTTTGGATCATACCTTTATTGTTATGTAGCAATAACAATTTCAAATCCTTCTTGTGTTGACTTTAGAAAGCTTTTAGCCACAAATGTCATTCCTCTAATGGTTCACAAACACCAAGAGCAAGAGGATGAAGAAGAGAAGAGAAGGAGACACTCAAAAACGTGTAGAAAGCCTAAGGATTCAGTTGCCCACGTTTTTTGTGCCCAGGGGGTCCTTAAATAATGAGGCTATTAGGGTTATCTAATAAGGAAACCCTAATTTGGATGCTTACGCCCTAAGCAACCCATGGACTCCTTCCTTAAAGGCCCAAGGACGATTTCTAATGGGTTTTCCCATAGAATTCGTCCACCCCCTTTAATATGGAGTCTATTTCCTCAATATTCAACTATTATACAATTAACAGTTCAAGTCCCTTAAGTTTAATTAATGTCTTTTAGCCACAAACTTAATTCTTATTAATTCTTGACTAATATTAATTAAACAATATGATTTCTCCTTTAATATATTATTCTCATAATATATTAATAAATCATATTTAATCCTTTCTCTCCGTAACTCATCCTATCAAGTTACTTTGGTGAAGACAACCCAAAAGGACCATGCACCATCGGGTCAAGTACATACCAAAATAGTTATGGACTTAAACACTAATCCAACAGTCTCCCACTTGGATAAGTCTGATAACTATTTCGCGTATGACTTCAGATCCTGATCTGCAATCGTAGCTTTCCAAAGCCGCTGTCAACTCTGATCTTATCAGATACGCGTGTCCTTAAGATAAGGGATCATATATTCCTCCATTCTAGATATCGTATAGACTGAGACATATATGGATCTAAATCATTCTCTCTGTCTATGCATTGTTTCCCGAATTCATATTTATGACAACTGACAATAGACTATAATTGAACACATCAATTTAGTCCCGGCTTGGCCAAGCGCTTAGGTGTCATCACTAAATCATCAAGGGGCCCACAAATATCGGTTTTATCCTACTTTGGATAAAAGGAATGGATAAACTTTGACTCAATGCACGCTTGAACTTACTCACCAAATCACACACAACAATATGTTTTATAACACCAAGTTAGTAGTGCGTTTACATATTATCAATGTGCAACAGACTTGCAAAATACAACTCACACATCTCGGTTTCAAGAATATAAGATGTTATCGTCTCACCAATCTCTCGTGATAAAATACATGAAGTGATCTAAGTGAGCGTGGGTTTAATCCAATGCTCAAATCATATTCATAAGCACTCATGAACATTGCAGCAAACAGTTACTTATATCTAATACACTTTAGACATTCCACACAACAATTCACAATAGTCTTCTTTCATATCTACTTTCAACATATGAACGAATGTGGCCCGTTCGAATAATTTGACTGTTCTTAAC